ATTAATGTTTATATCAAGTCCTGGCCAGACATGGATTTATAAACTGTTTTTTGTTTGTTTTTTGTAAGTGATAGAATTTGTATTCCAATTGTTTGAAATTTTATTTTGGTTTTCTGTTGTTGTTAGAGATTAATAAGTTTTTATTTGACCCTGGTTGTAGTAGTATTTTGTTTTAGTCCATTACAATGCCACAAGCTATTGCAAAGTCCATTCAACATGATATTATGTATTTGATGTGAGAGTTATCCACTATTTATTTTTACCATACGTTGCTGATTTAGCAATATTTTGTGGTATAGGAGAGTGAAAACAAGATAAAATATTCAGGGATACTGAAGAAACTGTAGGTATGCATTTCAGAAATTCTAGAGGTTATGCAAATGTAGTATGCAATATGTATGATGAATAAAATTATTGTTATTCTTCACATAAACATTACCTCGTACTGCAAGTTGTCAGAGTCTTAGTCAGACTGATGTTTATAACTTACAGATAAATCTTGAGTACAATTATATTTGTAAAATAACTTTTTGTGTACAACAGGCTTGTCATTTGACTAAAAGCTTGCTACATTTTGTGTAGATACACTTAGTAAATTTGGAAATGTAGTCAACATTATTTCTCAAATAAGGGGGTTGGTTCATTGGACTGGCCACATCATCAGGAGAAACCCCATAGTTAATAATGATACTTCTTGTGTAACTGACAAGTCTCCTACATGAGCCTTCATCTTCACCTGCCATTACTTCTATTTCTCAGACCAGAGACCATTAGGTTGTCGGCATATAGAATGAAGTTACACTGACCATGACTGGAATTTTACTGCTCCTTCAGCATGTCATCTTCAGTCACCATAAACCCCTTGAATACCTGCATGTGCAAGGTTCTGCAATGTTTGACCTTCAAACTGCACAGCTGCTGTGGTTATGACCTTGGTGCACTTTCTGACGGCCCTTGTTAAGGCAAATCCAGCTGTATAGCCAAAACATGCTGTGGCATCACTCAAAAATAGGTTTGGTGCTGGCAAGGACAGTAGTGATAGTACTAGTAGCCTTCCACTAGAACATAAGGTCAATAACATAGTTTCCAACCTCAGACAATGAATAAAAGGTCATATAATTTTATTTGAGAATCAAAAAGAGATACTCAATTCATGTATTTGTGATCATTGCTGGTGAAATGGTGTGGCTGCTCTGATACCCTGGGTCTATTTGATTGCTCGTAACTTCTGACTGAAATGTATTGCCATCATATGGATTGCATATTTGGATATAGAAGATTCTAAACTTTCCAGTGGTGTATGCAACACCTCCAAACAACAATCACTGGAATTTCTTGTTTTTTTTTACTATGCCACTCAAAAATACTACTTCGTCACTGGTTGAAGGAGAGATCCTGTGTTAAGTAACAATTTCTTGTGTGGTTTGTCTGATTGTGTGATGGGCTGTTCGTTTGAATTATTTTAGAAATTATTTGTAAGTTTATCATAGGCCAATGTCTATAGTTAACTTGGTATTAAATTTTTTTCTGGATAGGATCTGACCTTTATAGACTTGATGATCTTCAGTCACTTTGCATTTTCTTACATTATTATATCAATGTAGAAAATAAAGTAAGGGGATATTTTGTGATGAACTATATTACACAGCTAAATAAATGTTGTTTTTTTTGTTGTAAGTTAGAAAGTATATTACATTTAAATAAAATTAGATAGCACATTCTTGATACATATCTATGTAAATGTTTTAATGCCTGTGATTTTTTTATCTGATATTCATTTTTTATGGCATCAATTACCATCTTTTTTAAAGTATAAATAAAATGTACAGCGTTGTTATCAATACTGATACACATGGCTTTTTAAGCTCAAAAATAACTATTGACTTATATTGTTTCATTCTTTTGTGCATTTACTTTGTGGTGTATTAGTATTAGAGTGCTATAGAAGTCTTTTATATGCTTTGATATTTCATTTTTATTTGCAGGTTTAGTCAAAAGAAAAATGATGGTTTTAGATTTAGATGAGACATTAATACATTCGCAACATGATGGAGTTATAAGAAACATGGTGAAGCCAGGGACACCACCTGATTTTGTTTTAAAAGTAAGTTTTTCTTTAAAAAAAAAAAAAGAAGATTTAACTCTATGCACTTCTCTTTCTCTCTGCTGAGAGTTAAGTTTAATAAACATTTTAAAGTTTCAAAATTAAAAATCATTAAAAAACAATGTTTTCTCCAAAGTATATTTTGACCTCTGCCAGAAACATTACTTACCATCAAAGTAATCTGAACAATTATACATTAGATAATATACCACAAGTCAAGTTTTGAAATGAACTTACCTCTACTCACAAAAGCTATTTCGTTTGTTGTCTGCCCTCTAAGCATTGCTAAACTAATTTTTTAGCAATCAGCACACTAGTTTTTATACCCCCATCAGTTTCTCTGAACAAGTAAATATCACGTGACTACTTTTCACCAATAGTATTGCGCCACCTATAAAGGTGCAGCTATCTCTCTCTGCTATTCCCACTCAATCCTCACTTTCTGGATTGGCATGACACAACTCTAACTTTTTTAATTTTTCCAAGTGTGATTACAGTTTGCGATTTCACTTGTTTCCATTTCAAAGTTTCTCGTTCCTGAATTCTACATGTTTTAGTATGAATTGGGGGTCTTCTGTTGTGGACAGTGATATTACTCTGACAGCAACAATGCACATGGCACAACTTCCCAGGACATTACTTTTACATTATTATTTGACTTTACCTACTAAAGAAGTACATGCCTTGGTTTGCAGGGAGTCAGTCTTACATTCGGCCAGCATTTTCTTCATCTTTTCAACGAGACACTCTTTTTTGAGGAAGAAGACACTCGTTGAGTTCCCAATTTGGTCTGTTCTTTTTCAAGCACCTTACCCCAATTGCTGGCTGCCACATATTTCAACTGGGAAAGACTTGTTTTTCTCCTTTCTTCCTCTGACTTCAAGTTCTCCCAGGAGATCTGTGGTAAGCTTTCGAACATGTACACTCCACACCAGGTGGATATGCATATGGTAGGCCCAGTTCCAATGCCCTTTGTATCACTTTGCCCTTCTTTACACATGAGAGACTTGATTATTAATAACTAAAAAAAAAAAAAGAAATAATGTCAAAACAAATAATTTCTCATCAAGCTATCAAAATATAAATTTCTGAGGACTTCTCACATTGGTTACTACACATGAACATAGTCTCTATAAACTCTTTAAAATAGGGGTAAAACCCAGAGTAAGATGTGAATAAATTTATTCAGGGTATTATTAATGATATTTTCATGTGTACGAGTACAAAACTTCCTAGACCATATTAAATAAGTTTACTTGATTTCAGGTGTGAGTTGTTTTATAAGTTGTGGGTGGAAGTTTTTTCTCCTTTCTGAATTAAAAATGAGAATATTATTGTTTAGAATTTTTGCTTTCAGTGTTCAGTATGTTTCCCTTGTTTTTAGGCAGTGACTCATATTGCTTTTCCTAGGCAAGTGGAGGAAGTGATAATTTTGTTACTGAACCAGATAATGTATATTGCATAGAATTTTTCTTTTTTTTTTAATTTGGAGGGTTAATCACATTTCAATTTTATAAGAATGATGGTAATGTCAGTCGTATACCATACATCTCTAAAAATTTCCTGTTCTACGTTCATATCAGTTTCCAAAATTGTTTAAATAAACTAAACATAAAGCCTCTAAAATTTATGGGTATGTTGAGAGAGAAAAAATAAAAGTGATGTCATGAACATCAATTTAATTCTCTATTATTCATAGAAATGCTGTTGTGAACGTAGATTTAACTTGTTGCTTTGTCTTGAATATAGCCATACCTTGTCATTGTGGCCGTAATGTGCAGGAATTTCAATTTCATCTTGTTTAAATTGTTTAAATTAATTTTTGAGCTTTTAACTAGAGTTCACCTTTACTCTACTTGAAACTTTATGTGCATCAGGAGCATACACACAAGCCCTATTATTCAGCCATAAGCCAGATTTCTTATTCACTTTTGTCCTGTTAACTTCCTTCACTATGACATCAGAAGTCAGCATTAGTTGTTGCATGTGTATATTTATCAATAACTGAAATTTTCCAACTTCTTTGGAGGCATTATGTAGTTTGTCCCTACTATGCTGGGAGATTCAGGCTGTTAATTCTTTACTGTCTGCTGATGTTCTTATGGACACTCGGTTGCAAAGCATCTGCCTTTTTCTCATGGTAATGATGTTCTAATAATGTTAAAACGGCTTATCAACTTCTTGAGAAGATTTCTAAGAAGAAAGTAAACCTACAGACATCGGTCTTATTCAACAAAATCTGCATATATATATTTAAAATTGAACATTCCCAAGAAAAAAGGAAATCAAACCAGCAGAAGTTTTCTAAATTAGGGCTAGTTGACATATCCAGCCCTTCAGACAATGAAGATGAATAGCCATATGTGAACTTTCCATCCAGTGGTGTAATAATGGGGTGGGTGGCTTTAGTGGCAAAATACCATGGGCCCAGAGGCTCACGTTTTACTTCACAGTGTTCACAATATAGAAAATATTAGAATAAAATATTTTTAGTATTTTTAACATTTAATATGCTTGAACCCCTCATAAGAAGCTGTGTGTGCAGCTGAATCTCACACTGGCAAGCTGGCAACACTGCTTCAGGCTACGAGTCTGTCTGAAATTTGGCAAGTGTCTCTGGCTGCATCCTGCATTCTTCACGCATTTGTGAGCAGACAGTATACAGAGCAGTCTCTTAACCCTATCATCATGGGTCAAAGGCCATGTCATTGTGTTTGTTGACTTGCATTCAAAATTCTATTGAACTACTAATTTATGATTTGTCATAAGTTTGGTATCAACTCTAGATT